TAGATTGCGGATTATAACAAACAGCAAACAGAAAATAATTCTGGCACATTCTGGAAACTAATGGGTAGAAGGAAGCATTTGAGGTTTCACTGCTTTGTGGATGATTTTAAAGATATCTGTTTTTAATTAATTGAAACTTATACCATTAGTTTTATCATAAGAACTTAGCTCAACAGTTGAGCCCCGTGCAACTCTCTAGTTATGTGGTCTTTTTTTTCCTTCATTTTTCCTCTTTTGGGTAGTGGTGAAAGGTATCTTCAGTTGGCCAAAACAGCATAGTGAAGTACAGAAGCTCTCTTTCTTCCTTTAAGATGAATTGCATAATCCACGGATTAAGTCATAATGATACAACATGTAGGACAGAGCCAGTGAGGTAAGAATGTAAGTACACATATGGAAGGCTAAGTCTGTGATTTCCTGCATTGTCTTAGAAACAATTGAGTACTGTCCGTGATACATTTTTTATTTGCACTAACATACAATTTTGAGGACAGGCTTTCGGGGTATGTACCCTTCTTCAAAGTCCAAACAGTACTATTACAAATCACAAAGTTTGAGCAAAATGTTAGAAGGGATTGAGAAAAAAAAAAAAAGGCTACAGATAAAATACATCAAGAGCGAGGGGGGGGGGGGGGATACTACACTCACACAGAGAAGATACTTTGGAAGATACTGCATTGTCTTAGAATTTTTATGTTTTGTGCATGTGTAGGACCATGCCAAACATGAGGCAGATTTTTAAGGCCAGACTCACCCCTAATACCTGGGATACAACAATATTGCAATTGCTCCTTCCAGAAGGTTTGTTCAGGCCTCAGAATTGTGCCTTCCAGAAGGTTCATACAGTATGTAGGAGGGTCAGTAATCCAGGATATATCTATGAGTCTTTATTACATAGTTCAAAGTTAGATTGGGGACTCCTTGGCTCAAAGATCTTTCTGTTCCTAGTAGCTCCAGGAACTGTGCAAGGCACTGATGCTCCAACAGGCCAGTGGGACTCTGCATTCCCAAGCAGTTGGTCTGCTTCAGTTAATGGAAGACCAAAATACTTACACCATCGTAGTGCCTTCTACTATTTCTTCCCCACTCTTCAGCCCAGAACATTGCAGACACAGAATTTCCACTTAAGTTTTATTGCATTTTAACAGTGTTACTTTATTATACAGTATATTGTTGGCAAACACTCTCTTGTGTCAATAGACTACAGATATTCCATAATTTCTACTTCTCACGGGCTCAAAATTATACAGATGCTCTCTCCTAAAGGCTCTGTGACACTAAGGGTAAGTCCTTCCCAGAAACAGTACTCATTGCACAACGGTCTATTTCTCATTCCACTATGGGCCTGCTTCCCACTGAAGACTCATGTTTAGTCAAGGAGCAGACCCACTCCAGGGAAGAGGAAGCTATATGTACCTGTAACATTCACATGCTTGCTGCTGCCCTCTATCTCCCATGAAGGACACCACTTGTGATGCAGGTCATGATATTGAAATACATCCATGCCAAATAGCCACTAACTCTTGTGGGAATCTGGTATCTTTATTAGGCACAGGTTTCTCCATGATGGTCAGCTGATACCTACTGCAGAGTACAAGACAGTCCTCTGCAAGGTTCAATCTAGTGCCCATAGCACAGCAGTGGACATGTGACTGCTCTGTCCTTTAAATACTGAGCAACAAATGGGATATGGTCCTGCCGGCGTCATTCGGCAGCACACCTCAGGTAGGCAAGCTAAAGTGAAGAGTGCCTCACCTAGCCCATCTCCTTCTCTGGTAACACCCTGCTACATTTCACCCCCCCCCTGCTAATCTTGGCACTCCCTTTGGCTATGCCTACCAACTAACTGATCATCCGTTATCAAGAACTAAAGAAATAATACAGTAACATATGACATAATAACTGTCAGGAATGGACTGGCCAGCAATGGTGGGACTCACCTGCCTTTTGATCTGCAGTACCAGGGCTGGCCAGCGGATGCTCCCAGCAATCAGAGACTCAACTTTGCAGCCAGTAACACCTGGAACTGATTATGCTGGGGTATTTAAGGGATGGCCAGACCCACAGACTCGGCCTTGGTGTTGTGTTTGTCCTGGGCCCTGTATCCTGTTTCTGACCTGCATCCTGTTTCTGAACCGCTGCTGACTTCTCCTGCTCTGATCCCGGCTCGCTCCTGACCATCCCTCTGCCTGACCCTCTGTACCACGCTGCTTGCTACCTGTTCTGATCCCTGGCTTGTGACCCTGACCATCCCTCTGCCTGACCCTCTGTACTACGCTGCTTGCTACCTGCTGAACCTGGCCTGTGACCCCGACCAATCTCCGCTTGCTCCCCCTGTACCTACTTGCCCTATTGATATTGACCCGGCCTGCCTGACGACGCTTGCTTGTATGTACTGTTATCTGTGGGTGGTTGGTTTGGTTTGGTTTGGTTGCACTGTATTATGTTTTAGTATTGCACTGCGTTTATGTTTGTATTGTTAGTGTTAATAAATTATATTGTTTATAACATATCTGAGGTCTGCGTTTCCCTGCATCAGCCACACACCTCTGGTCACACCTGGGAGCCCTGACATTACACCAAGGCCAATCCTGACCAGAAGTGGCTGCACAGGGAAGCCATCTTGGCTTGTTGATGGGAAGGATGGATCTTGAGGAGGTTGAGTATTTATATCTGCTAGTGTTTGATGACAGGGAGTATGCTTATCAAACTCTGAAGGAGTATCCCAGGGATCAACTACTAGAATGTATACGGCTCGCTCATGTTCTAGTAGATCAGGGCACAGAGTTCTCTGAGGTGCAGCCTTTGATTGAGGTTTGTGCTGAGTTGGTTTCATCTGGTTCCCCCGAATGCAGGGATGAATTTTTACCACCATTTAGTGCAGACCAGGTAGAGTCCCTGGTGTGGTTATTAGAGGATGATGTGGGTTACTTTCTGGAGTGTTATTCCACATGTTCACCACAGACACTAAGAGATTGTATAAACGCAGTGCAGTCATTGACCAGACAGGCTTTGTGTAAGCTCAGCTTTGTTCAACCCATACTGCAGACATGGACAGACTTGTTGCACCCAGCCTCAGCTTACAAAAACCCAGTCCTGCTTCTAACTCTACTCCTGTATTCCCACCAGCTCCTCCAGTTACAGCCCAGTATACTTGGCTATCTACCGCATGTCAGTACCCTGTTCCCACTCGCTGCACCTATCCTGCCTTTAACCCTGTAAAAAAGCCCTCTGTAGCAACTGCTCCCTCTCCTGTTCCATCCTCCAGTTTTTCTCTGTCTCCAGCTGCTCCATTCGTTTGCAGACCTGCGTTTACTTGCAGTGCTCCAGTAGTTAAAACCAGAAAAAAGCGAAAATTCTTTCCAACCAATACCATCCTGCCAGTATCCAAACCGGTGAACCTGCCTTCCGTGACTCAGCCTGAAGCCTCTACTCAGCCTGAAGCCTCTCTACTCAGCCTGAAGCCTCTACTCAGCCTGAAGCCTCTCTTCAGCCTGATGCCTCTACTCAGCCTGAAGCCTCTACTCAGCCTGAAGCCTCTACTCAGCCTGAAGCCTCTACTCAGCCTGAAGCCTCTACTCAGCCTGATGCCTGCATTCAGCCTGATGCCGCTACTCAGCATGATGAACTGATCCAGCCCGACGATCCTATTAGGCCAGTTGACTCGATGCCCGCTGTTGATCCAGATGATCCGGTACCTGACCCAGTGCCTGCTGTTGTGCCAATTGACTCAGAGCCCGCTGTCATACCTGGTGACCCGGTGCCCACTGCCTTGCCAGATGACGCGGTGCCCGCTGGCAAGCCAAATGACCTGATGTCTGGTGACCCAGTGCCCGCTGTCATACCTGGTGACCCGATGCCCGCTGTCGAGCCAGACAATCCGATACCTGATGACCCGTGCCCACTGTCGTGCCTGTTGACTCGGAGCCCACTGTCTTGCCAGACGACTCGGTGCCCGCTGTGTTCCGCCAGTCGACTCGGTGCCCGCAGTCTTGCCAGTCGACTCGGTGCCCGCAGTCTTGCCAGTCGACTCGGTGCCCGCAGTCTTGCCAGACGACTCGGTGCCCGCAGTCTTGCCAGACGACTCGGTGCCCGCAGTCTTGCCAGACGACTCGGTGCCCGCAGTCTTGCCAGACGACTCGGTGCCCGCAGTCCCGCCAGTTGACTCGATGCCCGCTGTTCCGCCAGACGACTCGGTGCCCGCAGTCTTGCCAGACGACTCGGTGCCCGCAATCTTGCCAGACGACTCGGTGCCCGCAGTCTTGCCAGACGACTCGGTGCCCGCAGTCTTGCCAGACGACTCAGTGCCCGCAGTCTTGCCAGACGACTCGGTGCCCGCAGTCTTGCCAGACGACTCGGTGCCCGCAGTCTTGCCAGACGACTCGATGCCTGCTGTTCCGCCAGACGACTCGGTGCCCGCAGTCTTGCCAGACGACTCGGTGCCCGCAGTCTTGCCAGACGACTCGGTGCCCGCAGTCTTGCCAGACGACTCGGTGCCCGCAGTTCCGCCAGTTGACTCGATGCCCGCTGTTCCGCCAGTTGACTCGGTGCCCGCAGTCTTGCCAGACGACTCGGTGCCCGCAGTCTTGCCAGACGACTCGGTGCCCGCAGTCTTGCCAGACGACTCGGTGCCCGCAGTCTTGCCAACGACTCGGTGCCCGCAGTCTTGCCAGACGACTCGGTGCCCGCAGTCTTGCCAGACGACTCGATGCCTGCTGTTCCGCCAGACGACTCGGTGCCCGCAGTCTTGCCAGACGACTCGGTGCCCGCAGTCTTGCCAGACGACTCGGTGCCCGCAGTCTTGCCAGACGACTCGTGTGCCAGCAGTTCCGCCAGTTGACTCGATGCCCGCTGTTCCGCCAGTTGACTCGGTGCCCGCAGTCTTGCCAGACGACTCGGTGCCCACTGTCGTGCCTGGTGACTCGGTGCCCGCCGCTTCGTCTGGGGGCCCGAGACCTAATGCTCCGCCTGAGGGCCCGAGACCTGTCGCTCCATCTGGGGGTCCGGCGCCCGCCGCTCCGCCTGAGGGCCCGAGACCTGTAGCGCCGCCTGGGGGCCCGGCGCCCGCCGCCCCCGCCTGGGGGGCCGATGCCCGTCGCCCCGCCTGGGGGCCCGATGCCTGTCGCCCGCCTGGGGGCCCGATGCCTGTCGCCCCACCTGGGGGCCCGAGGCCTGTCGCCCCGCCTGGGGGTCCGATGCCTGTCGCCCCGCCTGGGGGCCCGAGGCCTGTCGCTCCATCTGGGGGTCCGGCGCCCGCCGCTCCGCCTGAGGGCTCGAGACCTGTCGCTCCATTATGGGGGTCCGGCGCCCGCCGCTCCGCCTGAGGGCCCGAGACCTGTCGCTCCATCTGGGGGGTCCGGCGCCCGCCGCTCCGCCTGAGGGCCCGAGACCTGTCGCTCCATCTGGGGGTCCGGCGCCGCCGCTCCACCTGAGGGCCCGAGACCTGTAGTTCCGCCTGGGGGTCCGGCGCCCGCCGCTCCGCCTGGGGGCCCGAGGCCTGTCGCCCCGCCCGGGGGCCCGAGGCCTGTCGCCCCGCCCGGGGGCCCGGTGCCTGCCGCTCCGCCCGGGGGCCCGGTGCCTGCCGCTCCGCCCGGGGGCCCGGTGCCTGCCGCTCCGCCCGGTGGCCCGCTGCCTGCTGCTTCTCCTGGTAGCCCGATGTGCCTCTGCCCGGAGTCCTGCCCGATGTGCCTCTGCCCGGAGTCCTGCCCGATGTGCCTCTGCCCGGAGTCCTGCCCGATGTGCCTCTGCCCGGAGTCCAGCCCGATGTGCCTCTGCCCGGAGTCCAGCCCGATGTGCCTCTGCCCGATGTGCCTCTGCCCCGGTGTGCCTCTGCCCGATGTGCCTCTGCCCGGAGTGCCTCTGCCCGGAGTCCAGCCCGATGTGCCTCTGCCCGGAGTCCAGCCCGATGTGCCTCTGCCCGGAGTCCAGCCCGCTGTGCCTCTGCCGGAGTCCAGCCCGCTGTGCCTCTGCCCGGAGTCCAGCCCGCTGTGCCTCTGCCCGGAGTCCAGCCCGATGTGCCTCTGCCCGGAGTCCAGCCCGATGTGCCTCTGCCCGGAGTCCAGCTCGATGTGCCTCTGCCCGGAGTCCAGCCCGATGTGCCTCTGCCCGGAGTCCAGCCCGATGTGCCTCTGCCCGGAGTCCAGCCCGATGTGCCTCTGCCCGGAGTCCAGCCCGATGTGCCTCTGCCCGGATTCCAGCCCGATGTGCCTCTACCCGGTGTGCCTCTGCCCGGAGTCCAGCCCGGTGTGCCTCTGCCCGGAGTCCAGCCCGATGTGCCTCTGCCCGGTGTGCCTCTGCCCGGTGTGCCTCTGCCCGGAGTCCAGCCCGATGTGCCTCTGCCCGGTTTTGTACCGCTGCCCGGAGTCCTGCCCGGTGTGCCAGTCTTTGATATCCCGCCAGTTACCAGACCCGGGCGGTGGAACATTTTTCCCAGCTAGGACTGTTTGGAGCGTCCTGAGGCCGCTCCTTGAGGGGGGGGGGTACTGTCAGGAATGGACTGGCCAGCAATGGTGGGACTCACCTGCCTTTTGATCTGCAGTACCAGGGCTGGCCAGCGGATGCTCCCAGCAATCAGAGACTCAACTTTGCAGCCAGCTAACACCTGGAACTGATTATGCTGGGGTATTTAAGGGATGGCCAGACCCACAGACTCGGCCTTGGTGTTGTGTTTGTCCTGGGCCCTGTATCCTGTTTCTGACCTGCATCCTGTTTCTGAACCGCTGCTGACTTCTCCTGCTCTGATCCCGGCTCGCTCCTGACCATCTCTCTGCCTGACCCTCTGTACCACGCTGCTTGCTACCTGTTCTGATCCCTGGCTTGTGACCCTGACCATCCCTCTGCCTGACCCTCTGTACTACGCTGCTTGCTACCTGCTGAACCTGGCCTGTGACCCCGACCAATCTCCGCTTGCTCCCCCTGTACCTACTTGCCCTATTGATATTGACCCGGCCTGCCTGACGACGCTTGCTTGTATGTACTGTTATCTGTGGGTGGTTGGTTTGGTTTGGTTTGGTTGCACTGTATTATGTTTTAGTATTGCACTGCGTTTATGTTTGTATTGTTAGTGTTAATAAATTATATTGTTTATAACATATCTGAGGTCTGCGTTTTCCCTGCGTCAGCCACACACCTCTGGTCACACCTGGGAGCCCTGACAATAACAAGTAAAAAAAAACAACCACATAACAGTTTCAACACAAATATTAAACAGCATTAATATAATAGGTAAGATAAAGGTTTAAACCCATCTCCCAAAATCAGGGTGTCTGCTCCAGCAAAACCAAGTTCTTTACGGTACAGCTGTAGCCAAAATCTAGGAAATCCTTTGAAAATTCCCCTTAGGGCATCTCAATCTTGGCCACCTTGGGAGAAACACTCCATCACTTCTCCAGCCCAAGGATGTGGAAGGGGACCCACTTGATGTTAAACAGACATGCTGGGGAATTACTCCAGACAAGCATAAAACTCTTGCAAGCATTTTCCTTCTCCCATGAAACACAGATTACTCTAGCAGCTGTTTGGTCAGACAAGACCTCGAACAAAAAGTTCCCACATACACCACAACTTGCCCAAAGGAAGATTTCTAAGGCCAATTTTCCACAGTCTGGGAAAAACGGTAACAATTGTCAGTTCACATCAACATAAAGAGAAATCCTATATCCAGAATAATACATGTAGTGAAAGAATAGGTCTTCCTTGCCTTGGGGACAAAGGTTCAATTTCTTTGCCAAGCCATTGGAAATTTTCACACCAGAGGACTCTCTGCAGGTGGGTGCACAATGTGGTTTTAATACAAGATGCTCTTTTTTACTTACCTCATCCTCTTGTAGAACTGAATACAATTTTCTGAAGTGTCTATAACTTTTTATATTTTGTGAACATGTAAGGAGAACTCGTTGACTCACAAATCCTTCTCCATTAGTTAGTCTAAACAGGCTGAAATACTGACACTCAGTGGCTGAATGCATCCTAGCTATGGGAATTCTGCCAAACTGAGGTTTTGTTATCTGTCAAACCCAGCTCTGATGAAGAAGGGATCACCCTTCGAAACACGTTAGCTTTTATCTCCCCTTTGGATGGAATTTGCATGTTACCTGTAACCCTGTGTGGACTATGGTTATTCTATGCCTTTTTTATCACTACTTTTGTGAGTATACTTCTTTAATAAAATGATTCATTTTACTGAGGTAATGCGCAAAGTTGGTGGGCTCTTTCTTTTATCCTCTTCTACAGTTTTATCAAGCTTCCCCAGCTTCATGATAGAGCTGCACAACCTTTGATCAGCATTGGATGAACACACTGTTGATTAAATAATCTTCCTGTGGTCTGAGTCCTTGAGCACAGGAGATAGTGGATGTGTGTCACTTGACGGTACACCTTGGGGAGGTGGGCTGCAGTGAAAAGTGCAGCACCTGACTTTCTTTCCCCTTTAACATCCTTCTACACATAGATGTGTGTAAATTGTGTTTTAACTTTTACATAAAGTCGTGATTTTACAGAATATGGCTTTGGTTGCCAATTTTATGTATTGATTAAGTGGAGCCCTGGAATGGAAAGGAAGAGTAACTGATGAGTACCGTCTTATACTGAACAAATGTGATCTTCTGTCACTATTAAGTTTATGTTATAGTCCAATGAACAGTGAAAGGCTTCAGACATTGGGATTGTGTTTAACGTTTGCATATAGCAATCGTTCTCAATTATTTTAACATGAAAGAACCCTTGAAATAATTTTTAGGTCTTGACCAACCACTTCTATTAAAAGAATAATGAATGTGGCATACATAGCATCATTGGCACTCATGGTTAGACTACTTTCAAGTCTACTTTGTAGTCTAGACTGTTTCCTTTAACCCTGAGTAGAAGTCCGAAAAGCAGACCAATATTTTACCAAATGTAACTAAAATAGAAAATGCACAGAAGGAAGAGAGGGAAGAAAGGCAAAAGAGAAGAGATAAAAAAGGAGGGGAGAATAGTAGAGGAAGAATACACCCGTTTGCGAAGTCCGCCACACCGTCAACTTGAAGACGACCTTAACGTGGAGTTCCAGTGAAAATAAAAAAAAAAAATAAACTTACCAGCTACAAAACTGTAGCTGCTGACTTTTAAAAAATGGACACTTACCTGTTGATCCCGAGGTGTTTCATCGGCCGCCCTGTGTTCCCAGCACCGGCATCTTTACTGTGGGCACCCAGCTGTGATGGTTTGCAGCTTTACAGTCGGGTGCTCACTGCGTATGTGTGAGCCGTGGAACTTCCCTTTTTGGTTGGAGCTCCGCTTTAAGTGCCTGGTACCTGCAAGTAGGATAACCAGGGATGCCATATTTTGTCAAACAGGGGTTGATTATCCTGTAGGACACTGACTAGTTTTTTTGTGTAACATGATCCAGGTTAGTTTCCATTTAATTAGGGCCAAATCAATCACGGGGCTTTTCCAAGCAGTAGTAATAGCTATCTTGGCGGCTAGGAGAAAGAAGTGTATTAAGTTCTGTGTGAATCTCGGGACATTGTCTATAGATTCATTAAGTAATTTGGTTTGAGCATCTTTGAGAATATTAGCCATAGTTACCGTGTAAATTAATGAATGAACCTGTATCCAAAATCACTGGACTTTGGGACAAGACCACCACACTTGTAGAGCTGAGCCTACTTGGCCACAGCTCCTGAAGCAGGAGGGGGAGACGAACCCAGGTACATTTTAGAAATATGCTTGGGTACCAAGTACCATCTGGTGAGTGGGAAAGCGTAGGGCACATAACGGCCCTCCATGTCTGAAGGGAGCTGAAGGGAGCCAAAGGACCATGTCAATTGGCACAGCAGAACAAGCTATACCCAATCTGGTCTATAGAGTTTGTGATGAAATTGGCCTAACTGAGTAAGTTGAGCTGCAATATAGTATTTATGGAAACATGGTACCCCCAGTCCTCCCAAGTCCTTAAGGAGCGTACATGGTATTTTCAGCTAGCCTACTACCCTTCGCACCCCAAATGTAATGGAAGATTTTTGTTTGGAACTGACTTAAGGCCTCCACAGGCACTGAAATAAGTAGGGTCCTAAAATAATACAAGATCTTAGGCAGTATTGTCATTTTCACAGATGAGATTCTGCCCATCCAAGACTAGGTTGTATCAGACCAGGTCCTCCCACCCTCCAACAATTTATGAATACGTGCCAGGTAATTTGCTTTATAAAGAGATGAAATGTGAGGGGTTAACTTAACTCCAAGATAGGAAAGGGAAGCCGTTTGCCACATAAATGAAAACTGAGCTTAAAGGCTTCTGTACACTGTCTCCGGTAAGTTAACATTCATGGCTTCAGATTTGGTCTGATTGACCAGGAGGTCCAAGATCTGACCAAAATGATCCAATAGGGAGAATAAGTGTGGTAGGGTAGTATGAGGGGAAGTGGCAAATAATGGCAGATCATCTGCGAAAAGTGCACAATTGTGATGTCAGTCCCCGCTCTTAATCCCCTATATATTCGGGTCCTGACGATCGTAGTAGCGAGGGTCTCTATTGCTATGATGAACAATAAGGGAGAAAGCAGGTACACCTGGAGAGTGCCAGAGGAGATTGTGGATTGTGTCAATTTATGGCTTTGCAAAGAGATCTGTGCTGTCGTATTGCTAGAGAGTGAATGGAGCGAGGCTTTAAATTTGGGACTGAAACTCCATCGTTCCAGTATCTGAAAGAGGTAGGACCATGAGAGGGAATCGAATGCTTTACGTATATCCAGGGACAGTAACATCCCATGTCTAATGCCCTCCCCATCCCAAGAAGAGTGTAAAAGAAAGATGAGGTCTACCACTCAACGCACTTGCTCCACCACCTGTCTGTGGGGCAAGAAGCTGACCTGAATGTATATATTGGTCTAAAAAGGTCAACAATCAATTGGATTTTGGTAAACAATTAGATTTTGGTGAACAATTTTAAATCATTGTTGATTAACGAAATAGACCTATAACTTGCTACATCACTTGGGTCTTTGTGGGGCTTCAGGATAAGCATTATGAATGCTCTGTTAGAGTCAAAGTCTACAGCCCCCCCCCCCCTCTTGAATGGTGTTAAAGTAGTTTGTCAAAGGAGTAGCCAATAGTGTTGAAAATGTTTTGCAGGATAAAACAATAATGCCGTCAGGGCCAGGAGATTTACCCACCAGGGCCTGTTTGATGACTGACCATCAACAAGACCGAAATGGGGAGCCCTGTGAACTAGATATATTAGTGGATGTGTATAAATCCCCCCAAAAAGCTGAGAATTCTTGCAATACTAATTTGGGATTTTGTGTGAAGAAGCCGTCTGCCTTCCTAATCTTAGGGAAATGGGGAGCAGGGCATCAGGAGACAATTTAGTCACCAGTAATATGCCGATTTTGGCAGCTTGAGAATAGAATTTGGCTTTACACCATCTCAGATTCTTTTTGGCCCTTGTTGTGATACATACATTTAGTTCAAGCTGAGGTGTTTCTTTCTAGCTGTATAAGTCAATCCGGGGTTCCTGTTTATGAGCCTTAAGAAAGTCATGTGAGACCTTTTCTTTTTGTTTAAGAGTTGATTCATAAAACTTCTTATATCTGGTGGCTATTTGAATCAGAGTGCTATGCACCGCGGCCTTGTGTGCCGCCCATGTACACATGGGAGATGTATGGGCGGGATCATTTAAAGAGAAATATTCCTTCAATTGTAGTTCTATATCCAGGCAGGTGGCTGGATTGCTGAGGAGAGATTCACTGAGGCACCAGGTATAGGTAGATGTTGGACTACGGAGTGAAGAAATGGAAACTAGGACAGGAGAGTGGCCCGACCAGGCTGTTTCTAAAATCTTGGAGGACATGCATAATGGTAAGAAATTAGAGGATGTGAGGATGTGATCAAGCCTTGAATAAGTGGAATGTACATGTGAGAAAAATGTGTAATCCCTCCCGAAACCATTAAATTATCTCCAGATGTATACAAAGTCATAAGCATGCAATAATTTAGCAAACTTGGTACCCATCTTGGAGAATTTCAGAACCTGGGAATCCCGATGGCGTGGTTTATCTTGAGATGAGTCTAAAGCTATATTGGAGTCCCCACCCAAAAGGAGCACACCATGGAAGTGGTGGGACAGTGTGTGTAAGAGTGTTTGAAAGAAGCCCAGTTGATTCGAGTTAGATGCGTAATATGTTAATAATGTCACTAGGGAGCCCTGCAAATCACCCTTCACCCTCAGGGTTGGAAATGACCTGTGATGGTGAAAAAGACAGGCACTTAGAAATACATATTGCAACTCTGTGTTTTCTCTGAGGTACTAGACATGAAAAAAGTGGGGTAATGCTTGCGTATGAAGGAAGGTGGGTGTGAAGTAGGGAAAAGGATTTCTTGTAAAAATACTATTTCCGCTCCAATTTAGTGAAAATAGTTAAAGGCGTTACGTCTCTTAACTGGACAATTAAGACCTTGGACATTGTGTGTTAACCTCCCTGGCGGTATTCCCGAGTGTAGCTCGGGGTAAAGTTTCAGAACCACAAGCGGTAACCCTGAGCTACACTCGGGAATACCATGCGGCACTGCTTTGGGATCTGTTCTTCTCTTACCTTGTCCTGCGCTCCCGCGATGTCCCTCCTGCAGTGTCCCCTGTAATGTCCTCCGGCGGATGCCGGCATCTGTCTTCTGGGTTCCGTCCCCTGCGAAGTCGGGACGTACGGGGGACGGAATGGCGGCAAATTTGAAAATGACAAAAAGTGACATTCACTAAATTCACTAAAATCACATAGTAAAACATTACTGTATCAAAGCATTTCACATACATTTTGTCCTGAGTGCTTTGTCCTGTGCCCTGCCTGCATTTTTACTGTTCTTTCTGCCTTGAATCTGAGAAACATCCATGGTGTCCAAAAAGCGACCCTTTAGGTCAAAAGCGATTTTAGTCCAGCTAGAGAACAGCGATAGTAAATTAGAACTACTTGCAGAATTGAGTGATAATGATTCGTGGGGAAATTCGTCATCAGGCACTGAAAACGATTTTGCGAGTTTGCTCAGTGATGTGCGAACTTGGCGCTATACTTCAAATTTCAGTGTTTTTGGTTTGATTATATTATTGAATTAAATGTATTATTATATTGTTATTTTTTATGATTATTTATTAAATTATAATTTATGATTTCGTGTTTCAAATTTTAACATACCCGAGATGTTTACTAGACTCTTGTTCGGACAGATTTCAGTGAGTTATTCCTAAAAATTACAGGCCTACAATAAAAAAAATATATTTCCATGCAAAAAAATGTACCGCTTTGAGCACAGAAATATGGACATAATCAGACTGCTAGGGAGGTTAATATTGAGAAGGCCTCATGATGGTTGGACTAGCAATAGGCATGGATGGAGCAGAGATCAATTACCCCAGCGTTCCATACTCTGAAGGCGAACAGATCAATCAAGAAATGGAAGGTTAGGAGATCCCAGGCAGGTAGTAGAAGAAAAAAGAAGAAAAAGACAAGGAATAGGAATGCATGGAAATAGTGGTCCGGATAATGCTAGATCCTGCAAGAATGGTAAAAACAAAATAATTACACAATAGGTTGAATATGATGTCAATAGACTTATCACATATAGGTAGATAAAACACCTCAAGGAAAAACACAGTCCAATTACAGGGCTCAAGTTATCTGAGGCCATATCCACTACAGTTAAATTAATAGGCAGAGATGGAACCAGGATAGGAGCAGGACTCATCGAAACAGCTTGAGCTGGCTATTTAGAATCAATATACAACTGAAAAAATGAACAATGAAACAGTGTAGTTTATATATTCCCTGCGGAATCAGAAACTGCTAAGGGCTCATGTACAGTACACGAGCAGCTGCTATACTCAAGTTTAGGGGCTTTCGGTAATTTTTTGCCAAAGCTCCTAAACTCAACTGCATAAAAACCTATGTACCCATGTACACATAGGCTTTTAGCAGCTGCCATGGTTAGGTGAGGTTAAACCTCCCTCTACTGAACGCAGAATAGCATTCAGAATAGGAACGTTTTCACCACCAACCACGGGAAAATGCAAAATTCAGCAAAACGTGGCAACCACGATCTTGCTACGGTTTTGCCACGATTCGTGTTTTCCTGCGGCTGGCGGTCAGGGTAGGCTTGTGTACATGGAGCTTAATAGAACAATATTACCAATGTTGCCAAACAGGTATAATGTAATATTGTTCACAGAAAATGGCTGGAGAACGCTGCCCCAGAGGGAAAAGTCAACCCAGTGAATCATCTGGGTAAAATAGAAGAATACCAAAATAACCAAAAAAACTGCTGTATAACCAATGTAGATAAAACTGTTCAAGGGACCTAGAAAATGGGAAAACAGGGCTGTGACTTCCACCACAATGGTGAGGGCCTAGAAAGCCTAGAAGCAGCGTTCATGGAGGCCTAGCTTCCATATTTCTTGAAAGACCAGCTTCTCATATTTCTTGCTGGTTGACAGAGTAGAGATACATGATTCCAATCATCCTCTGTTGGAGGATGCAGAAGTATAGGAACGTTAAGAAACTGGAGGAGACATTGAGTAGAGTCCCAGGCATTTGAGCAGAGCCTCGCCATCAGTGCAGGTGGAAAAGGCTTGGATGCAGCTGCTCGTAGAGTGGAGACTGCGAGCCAGGCCTTCTCGTCCGACATCAGTGCCTGACCTCACAAATGCGCTTCTGGAAGAATAGTCAAACATTCCCATAGACACACGGCTAAACCTTGCGGACAGCCTTCCCAGAAGAGTTGAAGCTGTTATAGCTGCAAAGGGCGGGCCAACTCTATATTGAACCCTATGGACTAAGACTGGGATGCCATTAAAGTTCATGTGCGTGTAAAGGCAAGCGTCCCAATACTTTTGGCAATATAGTGTATGTATATACAGTATGTAGTGCTACCCCCCCCCCCCCCCCAGGAGCCGCTTATGTTTTCCAGTCCTTTCCCAGAGTTAGTGCAGAGGGGGCCAGGCACACAGCATTTTCTCTCTCACTGGCTCAATAAAAGGTCTAGGTGATTTTTTTTTAATGCTTTTTATTGCTGTAGAAACTTAGATGGGGTGAGGGAAAACATGGGAAACTCCAGAAACACTGAATAACTAGAGGACACTTCTCCTTCTCCTAAACAGTAACTGTACACAAGGGATGGAGAGGTGGCTAAAGTCAAGTTCTCATAGCCACCACTCTCATAGTCAAGGCCACCACTGACTGAACAATTGCAATGGCCTGAAGAAAGGAGAAACTGCACATGGTCACTAGGGCTCTAAGTTCAGATTGGTACAGAATCACCAGCTGCCTCCTTCCGATATCCACCAGGCACTCTTCAGTAAGGCAGAAACAAGGCTCACAATGCCACAGGACAGCTGGAAACCTCCTTCTAATTTCCACCAGACACTTTCAGTGAGCAGATCAAGATCCAAGATGAAACCCTTCAAAACCCTCCATCTATGCCACAGCTGGGACCTCATTTGGCATATGGCAGTGTTCCAGTGAACTGCACTAAGGGGCAAAGCCCCCTCAGGCTGAGGACTCCTCCTGCAGGACTAGGCCCAAGACCCTTTCCTCTCTGCTCCAGGCTTCAGACTATTTATGGGCTCTTCAGCCACCTACTGGTCACACCTCCCTATGGTTTGGCTGGGTCCCTGGAAATATTCATGTTGCCCTTCTGCCTTTCCTCCCACTATGATTCCAGAACCTTCTAGAATGCACTATATACGTAATCAGACCAGCAGCCTGTGAAGCACTGGGCATCTTGTATACTAACTAGGAGGGTGCTACATATACAGTATATCTGGGTACAGGGACAGGAGAACCACCAGGAAGGTGCTCCTGGTCCTTGGGTCTAGCTACATCAATGTCATGTGCCAGTGCAAGTTTTTTTCAAATACTTTTGAAAGGATCACATTTATTTCACTTAAAATAGATCCGCAGGTGAACCCATAAAAAAGTCAGCTTCTTAAATATTTTTGTAATGTGCCACAAGCAGCATATATATGATAAGTGCTTCATTTAAATGCAACCCTGGAATAGCCGGTAGGCACAATAAATACACTTTGAGCACCAAGAAGGGGGGGTTATACAAATTTTATACAGTTTATTTCACAAATGTAGTTATGAGGTTTGACCTGTAAGTGTTCTCAATTTTGAATCTCCTTATTCACTTTCAGCATCCATTAAGCCTTAATATCTTGTCAGGTAAGCAATGAAAGGGCCCAAGAGGGGCCATTGTTGGGCTTTGCTTAGGGCATCAGTTAGCCTTATAGCCCAATTAAATGCAAAATGCTGGGTAACGCTTCCAGTATGAATAGCCTTCAAGGATCGCTTTAAAAAGAGAAAAAATGGATAAAGATGACAGTCTTGAAGCTATCTATGCAGAAAATAATAAGATAATACTTAAAGAATTCTTTAGAGAACCATCTGATGTAAGTGACTGGCAGCCATGCAAGGTGAAACAGAATTGCATTATTCATCTAAAAAAAGGACAGTGTTTGGAAATACACATATTGATATAGTGATAGAGGTTTTGTCATTCGTTAATTATTTAAAGGCAGGTAGTCATTTCTTGTGACAATCCAGCTGTGGCTAAAACGGGATTTATACTTCAATGACAGATGACAGGTCTAAGCCTGTCACAAAGTATAAGCTCCAGACCCTTGATAAGCATGATTAAATGGAGTGATAGTGGTTAAGAGTCAGTCTAAAGAAGCAGGTATTTTATGAAACAATAAACTGAATTATAGTGAAAGAAATGGCACCAGCTATGGGGAGAAATCACAGCAATGGAAATGCTAAAGAAATCTCTGTTTCAACTTACAAAAAAAAGTGTACTAAAATGATGTTTTATGAGGCCTGCTTAATGGAAGCCCAGGGCAGCGGTACACATGGTGGCTGATTAATCACAGCAAATAGTCACTCTTTACAGAAGAGTTTTCTCTTCACAAAGCCTGAAACCGGCTCAAGGCTCAGTGTTACTGGAGTAAGTTCTGGATAAAACAGATGTAACCCTTTCATTACTACAGGGTGATGTTCTGCCTTGTGTGTGACCATAGCAGGCACTCAGAGCACCCCCACTCTCTTCCTCCAAATGCGCTGATTGGGGCCAGTGACCTGATCCTCTGCCCACCCTCTTGGTTACGCGGCTGTGCCCCCTCACTCTCAGGGGTAACCATACGCTGTTCTGTTAGCTGGCATTACTGATAACTCTTGTTCTCTTTGTTCTCTTACCACATCTGTTACCTGGAGAACTTCACACAGAGGCCGCATGTAGATAACTTCTCTACTGAAGTTGTAACTCAAAATGATAGCAATCTGGGTCCCAACCCAGTCAACTAACAAGTCCATTACAAACTCACTGTTGTGAGTCTCTTTGGGCAAGTGATGTGCAGCCAGACCCAACTAAGGGGAACCTCCTCCAAGAGAAACCCAGGAAAAAGTGCTGTCCTTTAGGAGACCATTCTCCACATGGCAACCCTTCCCATGTACTGCGGCTGTGAAGATCCCTCTGGAGGAACTTATTATTATATATCAGTACCCTGCCTGGAGGATTACTAAGCTTGCGTTTATAATTTTTTGGTAAGGGTATTTAATTTGCACACTCTAGAAGTGGACACGTTTTTCACAGTTTTTTATCACTAGATTGTTTCACAAGCACGTGTTTACACAGCTATTCACCTTACCATATAGTGATCACGAGTGTTTTTGTGTGAATCACCTGCGTTATGGAATGAATAATTCAAGTTGTTAAGGATAATACACTATGTGCGTTTTCCTTTCTTTTTTTGAGTTTTTTTTGGTT